ATGATGGTTTTCGTAGTTCTCCAAGTTTTCGCCTTGGAATTTGTACTGAAAATCGTGACTTTGTTGTTGGTTGACAGACAGTTGTTTTGAGTTCCAGATGTTCTTCAGTTGTAAATATGCTGCTCTTGCTTTGCTGATCCGCGCATTCACATCTGCATCAGATCCACCGTATTCATCAATGATGCTGCCCAAATATGTAAAGGTTTTTACATCTTCCAAAGCCTATCCGTCAAATGTGACTGGATTGGTGCATGCTGTGTTGTATCAGAGAATCTTGCTTTTCTCTTTGTGTATATGGAAACCTACTGCTGCTGAGACTGCTGCTACACTGGTCGTCTTCTCTTGTATTTGTTGTTGCGTGTACGATAGAAGAGCCCGATCATCTGCGATGTCTAAATTGTCCAGCTGCATTCTAGCCGCTTCTCCCCAGATGTTGACGTCTTCATGATCCAGTCGATCACCAGGAGAAAGATAAAGGGTGAGAGTAATCAACCTTGCCTGACACCGGTCTTTATTTCGAACGACTTTGTCAACTGTCCTCCATACACGATTTTGCAGTTTAATCCATCATAGGAATTCGTTATGATTTTGACTGTCTTCTTAGACACACTATAGTGTCGAAGAATCTTCCATAGTATTATCCTATCCACACTATCAAATGCTTTTCTCGTAGTCAATGAAGTTGATATAGAGTGATATATCTCATTCAATTGATTGTTCCACAATGATCCGTATTGTTGGGATTTGTTCGGTACACGATTGATCCCTACAGTCAATCAATATTAAATGATCAATATTTATTTTAAAGTATTAAACTATGATATTATATGACTATCCAATGTATTTCATTTTTGTATATACTTAATCTCTTTTTTTTTCTTTCTATCCTATTAAACTCTTACACTTTACTGATTCATAAAGTACATCACATTTTGTCCTAAAAATCAATGTTATCATAATCCAAATAGATAAGTAGGGGATAATTCACAGTTAACTTGGATCATATGAGAAAGTACATTTTCTAATCGGATGTTTACAATAACAGAAAAGTAATTCAGTACATTTTTGTTGTTGTAATTATCCTTTTGGTTAATAAGCATAAATACGAAATATGACTACACACACACACACACACGTACACACACACAAACGAATAAACAAACTTACAAACTAATCATGATTAACACTTATTTGAAATAGTAAATGATTATAGGATATAAGTATTTATAGTTGATCAGTGAATGAAATTAACATATGGAAAAACATGGAAGCACTGGATGGCTTTTTCTATCTGTTACAGGATTCCTCAGCGGTGCGGATCCATGATTCTGCACATATTACTCGAACGCAGGACCATTGGTCTCATGCGTAAACGCTTAACCTCTAGATGCTACAGAGGCAGCATCCAAGTGTTAATGTCTAACTTGAATCAATCCACAATATTGTACAACTGTCCACCATTGTCTTCAGTGAGTAACTGTCTCACAGCAGACACGGTTGAACTGTACTGGTCACAGCTTCTCACTAGAACTCCAGGAAATTTATTTCGAAGCCAGTCACTAGTGAGAACATGATAATTATCAGTTCATGATATCAATCCAAACTCAACAATCTTCACAACCTTATAATGATATGACAAACAGTTTTAACTTTAAACTCTATAGTCAGAGAACATTGATTTCACTAGAACTGAAACATACGTTTATAGTGTGAAATTATTATTATTATTATTATCACACTGTTCTTGTTCGTTTGTGTCATTTTCTTTGTGGTACGCTTTTAGTTGGTTTGAACAATATACTTCGACTATATGCCTTCGGTAGTACCAAGTCCGCTGTGGGTTCTTGAAGTCCTGGGGTTGGACCCCCCATTGTGTCAGTATTGCATGTTGTTTCGGTACCCCTAACTAGAAAGAGGAAATCGGGTAATGTTTCATGATTCAGTTTATTTTGCAGGTCAACTAAAGTAGGAGGATATCATTTTAAATACTTCGCAAAGAAGTTCATATCAATCTAGGCCATTTTTGAAGCTGTCTTGATGCTAGTATGGGTGAAAACGGTTGGGTTTTAAATGCTTCGGTGGAGATAAAACTGTACTATACTTGTGAAAAATAGCTTTTATAAGCTTAATATGTTGTGGAACTTACTGTATTCGGTCACAGTTTTCCTCGAAGGATTAAACCAAATTTTCTGATGTTGAGGTTGAGCAATGTGTGTTCGGGTACACTGACAATAACCCATCTGATGTCAGCAACTTAGAAAATCTGACAAATCTTTGTGACCTCTATTTAAGCGGTTGCAACTTGATGCATTAAATGTCAATGCTGAGAGTAGGGGAAATAGCGGAGAGGTAGTTCAGAACAACCTTCCATTTGGAATTCTAGAGATTACACAACTTAATGAATTGAGATGAACTATCTTAGCTGAAAGAAGTCTTTTATTAGTGTATTTTTATGTGAACTACATCGTCAATTAAGTTAAGTTCTTGTTCGTCTATTTATTGATTACAAGATCCTTCTATCATTTATTTCGTCAAAATATTACCAATTCACTGGTATGGCTTATTGCTTTGGTGTTTCACTGCATCAGAATTTATGTCCATCACATAGTTACAGTAGAATGGTGTCTCTTGACACATGTTTTAGCTTCGTTAGTTTAAGGTTTATGATATACCAAAGCGCATATAGTGGAAGAACCAAGGGGAAAGTGAATGCTCGTATTCCCTAAAATGTTTTGAAAAAAAATTCAATATTAAAAGATACTACAACCTTGAATTGTTCAGTAATTTGGCGTTTAATCGACAGTGGGGACATCCTTGACGTCCATAACTTATTCCAGATAACCAACATTCAGAAAAGTTACTTTTAAGGTTTTAGTGATGTATTTGTTATAAAAAAAAGCTGATCTTAATTTATGAATTCAGAAAGAGACAAGTGTCAATTTATCACTGTTGCAGTAAATGCATGATAATGATAAAAATCATGTTCAATTATAATCATTATTATTACTATTAATTTCATAGTTTTAAATCACTAACTCATCTTACTAGATCAATAGTAAAAGAACCAGAAACATTGAATAACCGTTATGCCGTAGTAAAAGACTCCTCGGAAGTGGGCGTTCATGAGCGCGGTACAAGGAATTGAGCCGTAAACCTTCTGTATCGCAGATAGATAATTAGTCTCTGAACCAATAAACTGGCATCTAACGGCATACATGTCAAACTCCATTCAATTCACAATATACTGAGCAACCCTCATTTATTGCGTACAGTGGATAAATATCTCACACCTTTCAAGAACGCAATGACTGGCATCTTGAAGCCAGTCACTAACGATTACTAGATTATTATCACTATTACAAGGGGACTTACGGAGATTGTTGGACAGAACAACTGTTCAATGCTTTCACGTCTTCAATTGTATTCTAAGATCAATTAGCAATTTAAACAATGAAACATTCCTATATTCCCTATCCTAATATTATGATTAATGTTTGTATTTTTCTTTTCATTCATGTTCGCTTCGCTACTTGTTATTTCATTCACTTTGAAATCAGCTTTCTAATCCTTCGAAACTTTCATTTATTCATTCACTTGTTTAGGGTTATGTAAACTCTTCTAATTTTCTGTCATTTTAATAGAATTGATTTGATCAATACTATCTGACCCCTTCCTAGTTCTGATATCGATTTTTTAAATGATTTTATCTATGTTTATTCATACATATAATACCCAAAATCATTCGTATTTGAATTTGTTTAATTGTCAATACGTTCGTTATATTATGACCGTTGTATGGAGCTGGAGAGAGACCCCTGTTGGGGACGTTAGATCCCCAGAACTCACTTGGGAAAGGACCTAATTTTGTAATTTTATTTAGAAAATTTGAATTTCTTTGTTTTCGCCCCAAAGCTGCTCTTGTCACCTTCATGTCGTATTTCCCACATGGAAATATCTTAAATACTATTGGTCCGTTGCGTCTTTTAGTATGCTATTTGGTAACTCGCCCTAGGGACGGTTTTGTACTGTATATATACGTTTTGAATTGTGTTTGTTGTCATCGCTCGTTTCTGGCTGTTTTGCAGAATATACTTCCCCATTCCAAGCCTGGACTTCTCCCTCTAGTTAGCGGGACTGGGACGCATCAATAGCTAGCTTACTGGTCTTTGGTCTCTGAGACTTGTTTCTCGTTCGCAGATTAAGTAAACTCGTAATAGCTTCAACCATATTATTGTTATTATTATTATTATTATTATTATTATTATTATTATTATTATCAGCTTTATTCAATATTATATTTTTGGTACAATATAGAATTCTCAGCGTAAAGTATTTCAACAAGTTTCCGTTTCTTTCTTCTTCGTCGGTCCTGGCGATAAATATTGAGTGATCGCCAGTTAGATGTTAGCAGTTCACTAAATGAACATCTGAATAATATGCATTCTTTTGGTTGTATATTGCCAGCAACCACATTGTCTCTTATTGAGTTGTTTGTAACTTTGACAACGAAAGGTTGTACACTTTTCAGAAACGCAGCAGAATAGGTTGTGCGATTAATAAACATAATGATATATTAGAACAAACAAAAGTAGATAACTTGTTGAAATATCTAGATGACAGGAACAGGTAGCCCAGATGCTCAAGCAGGCCGCCGAATACCATAGCAACTCCCCAATAAAATAAAATGAATTTATATTATTCTATCTTAATTCAGTTACTTCATTTATTGATTTAATTTAATTTTACAAAAAAATCGTATTGCTGGGGTAGAAAATGTCTATTAACGATTTTACAATTATTAGGTATTATGTAATCTTATATTACAAAGAAATTTAGACCAATTTAATTGGTTAGTTAAAATTAACCAATTAAATTGATGTATTTGTAAGATCCAATCAGATTGCAGCTTTAGTTCATTTTAATTGAATTTTGATTGGTGGAAGAAATAGGCCCAGAAACTAGGATTCTATTTAAAATGAAATAAAAGATTTTTTTTAAAAATTTATTTCATGTAAATATGGATAGAAGACCATCAGGATTTTCAAAAATACCTCCAATTAATTCAAGATCTGTATTAATTGCTATCGATGGTTCTGAACATTCAAAAAAAGCATTTCAATATTATTTAAAATGGTTACAAAGATCAGATGATACAATAACAATTTATCATGCTGTAGAACCAGTCTCATTACCAACTATATCATTATCAAATCCAATTAGTATACCAAGTGATGAATGGTCAAATCTTGTACAAACAAATGTAAAACGTGTACGTGAATTAGAACAAGATTATAGTACAGATTGTTTAGCACATAATTTAACATATCAATTTTTATATGAACCAGTTGAACATATTGGTGCAGCTATTGTTCAAAATGCTGAAAAATATAATGTACATTTAATAATTGTTGGAAGTCGTGGTTTAGGTGCTATAAAACGTACCATTATGGGAAGTGTTAGTGATTATGTTGTACATCATGCTAATACAGCTGTATGTGTTATTCCTTGTATAACAGAACAAAAGAATTCTTGTAAAAATTGAATTCTTTTTCAATTATCCAATAGTTAAATCATATGTAAACATGTGTTGATATATTGAATTAAACATATACATATATAGTATGGTATAATGTGAATATGAATGTTTATTCTTTTTCTTACTTTTCTCTATTTTCTTTTCTTCACAATCACATATATTTCTTTTCTGAAATATATTGATAGTTATTGATTTTCGATTTGATGATCCATTCTGATCATTTCATCACAATGAAATTCATTATTATGTAACATATAAATATTCATGAGTGAGTACATGATGGTGTTGTTTTGTTCGATAGAGTTTTTCTTTTTTAAAAAGACATTTGTTTCTAGATGTTTGTTATTTTAACAATAATCAATTGTAGAATTAACTAAAGATAGAGATTAGCATATAATAAATGAGTTTTTTTTTTGTTTTCGTTTTTTGAAATCATAATTGATAGTAAATATTATTGATAATAGATATAAGTAGTTTAGTAGTTAAGGTATTCAATATTCACAGGTTTGAATACTATTCCATCTACTTTTTGGTTAAAGTTCCTGAGTAGTATCTTATTTGGGCTTCATGAAATAACATGAAGATAGACAAATGCGTTTTTTTCTTTCTCGCTATTTTTTTGTAATCACTATGAGATTATTAGTTGTTTGTAATTGTTTATTAGTGTTCCTAATGTAATTCACACACTTACTTACTTACACTTGTTACTCTTAATGGAGTATAGGCCATCGACCTGTATTCTTCAACCTACACAATTCTCGGCTTTCCTTTCTACTTGTATCCAATTGTTGTTTATTCTTCTCATGTAATTCACATGAACAACTCTTATTTTTCAACTAGCTGGTAATCATTACTTGATTTGAATTATTTTTTCTGGTTAGAGCTTTTTTTTGAAGAGTCAGTTTTCTACGGGATGGGGTCGCTAACCTCATGCCCAACTATCCTTCTTTATCTGGGCTTGAGATCAGCAGTGGAGTAAGAGAGGCTCCAGGTGGAGTTTGATGATCATTAATAATTAATTAATAAATATATAAAGATATGACTATTGAGAAATTATTGACCTACTAGAGTATTTATTCAAAATATTGAATTACTGTGTATAATTTTAATTTCTGTCTATAGTTTTGAGAAGTTTAATAATAATTGCAATATAATGCATTCTATATGTGGCCATCAACATTACTGTCATCATCATCATCCGAAGCATCATCATCATCTCAAGCATCGTCATCATCATCCAAAGCATCGTCATCATCATCGTCATGCTGAAAAGTAAACCCTTTGAGTAGTAATAAAACATACTACGTGACTGGATAAAATGGAAGTATATATGTTATTATGTGAAATCAATTTTCCTCTTTAGTAACAAAAATCACATTTTTTAATAATTTAACTGAACGTTGATTAGACAATGTATCATGTATTGAGAATGTTGTCCATTTAAAAGAATGAAGAGGACTTGTTTCATTTGTATCAATGTTTGTGTGAGTGGTCTGTCCTTACAAATCCATACACAATATTATACAATTAGACCCAAGGAAAACTTCATTGAAGAATGGCGGATGAAGACTCAATGAACGCTGAAAATAAATTAATAACCAAATTTATTGTTCTAATCTGTATGGATTCTCTTTACGTCAGAATATAGTCAGATTTTATTTATGGAGGAGATTGGGGTATGTCTGAGACTTCAAATAAAATCGTCATTAGCAGTTCACGCAATTTTCAACAATTTATTTATTTGAACACATAAATATTGGTACACGAGAGCGCCAATATATATGCGCCACACAAAACAATGAGAATTCGAAGAGAAAAAAAGAAGGTAAGGAGCGTAAAAAAAGAGAACAATAACGAAGAGATTAGTGTAAGGTAGTGTAGTAATAATCATAGTAATAATGAGGGAACGAAAAGGTACAATCAGAAGAAATCTCTCGGTTAAGGAAGGCACAACCACTTTTTATGAAGAAAGTAAAAGAAGGTCACAGCAGGATCATCACTGGCTTCCATTCTGAGCCATATCTGATAACGTCTCTAGCCACTGTGTAGCACCATCTCTCAGACCCCAGCCAGGGAGTCGTGAAGGACCAACACAAGTTAGTCCTTTGCAGCTTCCTTTCATGCCACGACACCATGTCATGCACTGACCACCTCTCCGCTTCTTCCAACCAGTCCCAGAGTCGGCAAATAATGCACGACGTGGAATTCTCTGGGACGACATTCGTAGAACATGTCCAAGCCACCGAAGTCGGTGTTTCAAGATGGTGACACCAATTGAATTATCATCTCTGTGCCCGAACACACAATGCCGAACCTCTGCATTACTGACATGGTGATGCCACTGGATGTCAGCAATCCTTCGGAGACAGCGATGATCGAACACAGAGAGTCGTCTAACATCCTCAACTCCGAGAGGCCAGGTTTCACAACCATTGGAAGGTGCAAAGCACATACCATACCTACGGACACTGATTGCCAACTGATTAAGTGCGGATTGCATGGCTCGGGCATTATCGCACAGTAAGACAATATCATCCACATACTCAAGGTCGAGAAGTCTTTCTCCAGGCAACAGATCCACACCGCCATTACTTACATTCATCAGAGCTGTTTCCAGAATGTCATCGATGGCAAAGTTGAAGAGGAATGGTGAGATTGGACAACCGTGCCTAACCCCACTGCTCGAATGGAACAATGGAGAGAGGTGGTTGTATGCCCTCACTCTGCCTGAGGTGTTTGTGTATAGGGCTTTTAGGATGTTAATAAACTTCTCAGGCACACCCTTCTTCAATAGACAATCCCAGAGAACAGTCCTGTCCAACGAATCGAAGGCAGCCCTGATGTCAAGAAACACTACGATTGTTGGCCTTTGATAAGTATGGTGGTGTTCTAACATTTGGCAGAGGGTGGAGATATGGTCAATACATCCTCGACCCGAACGAAACCCAGCCTGCTCCTCGCGAGTCAATCTTTCTCGGGTTTTGAACAACCTACGAAGTATGACGGAAGCCAATAGCTTGGACGCAATCGGAAGTAAACTTATCCCCCGATAGTTGTTACAAGAACGACGTGAACCCTTTTTAAAGATAGGGACAACTATCGACTCATTCCATGACGTTGGCACGCTCTCTAGTTCTTAAACCTTTGTAAACAACGTCGTCAATTCCTTAGTCAAAAAGTCACCACCATATTTAAAAAGAGCCGGAGGTAAGTCATCTGGGCCAGGTGGTTTTTAACGCTTCAAGAGCTGGAGTTCCTTGCGGAATTCCGTCCCATTTGGTGGATCAGTCATCACCGGCCATGGAGGGCAGGACAGTCTACCGATGTTGCCGGAGCAACAGGCCAGTTGAACTGCCCTTCGAAAAATTCTGCCCATCGTCCAAGACGTCGATGGATGTTAGTGATTGGCATCCCATCATCCTCGCAGATTGTTTCACTCACACCAGACTTCTTGCTGCCAGTGGCTCGGATGAGTTGGAAGAGCTTCCGATAGTTACCAGATGCAGCTGCTGCTTCCAGCTCATTAGCACGCTTCGACCACCAGGCTTCTCGGTCCTTACGCAAGCTTTGCCCGATTTCATTACGTGACATCCTTCTTTTGTGGTCACACCCACGATCACCCGGAGTAGACCGACGGGCTTCAATGAGTTGTAAGTAGCCTAAGGAAACCCAGTGTTTATAAGAGGGACGTTTCGCGGCTTTACTTGCCATTTTCATGGCGTCATGAAGTTACAACCAACTTGCTGACATCAGTCCTTTGGTGGTGGTCACTTTGTTGGCAACTGAAAAGTAAGTTAAGATTGGCGCAGACCAAAGCATGGTCAGAGTCCAGATAGGTACTCCAAAAGGAGCGGCAGTCTTTTACACAACCACACCAGCGGTAGTTGATCGCGATGTGATCAATCTGAGTCCAGGCTTGGGATGCAGAGGAAGGACGCCAGGTGGCACATCGGCGATGACTGTGCCGAAGGTTAGTGCTAGCCAGAAACAGGTTGTGGTCTGTGCACAGTTGCAGTAGACGGTCCCCGTTATCTGACCTGCGACCAACGAGTCCCCATCGGCCACCTAAACGACTCTCTTCTGTGCCTAGACGCCCGACCTGAGCATTCAAGTCTCCGGCTGGTACTACAATATCTGTCGAACGCACTTTCTGGAGAAGAACAGATAACTGGTGGTAAAACTCATCCTTGATTGCATCCGGGCTGCAATCTGTCAGGGCATAGGCGGAGATGACGAAAAGGCATCGTTTCTCACGCCGATTTCTTCTCTTTTTGACAGAATTTTCTAATCTAACAACACATAACCGACTGTTGATAGGGATCCAATCGATTAGTGCTACCTCAGCTCTAGCACTTAGTGCGACACCAACGCTAGGAAGACCAGACGAAGATGTCACAGGGTCCCCGGGTAAGCGTAAAACAAGCTTTTCGAAGTGACATATGCAGAGCGAATTTGTAGTAATCCACCAGAGTCTTGAATACGGGTCTCGGATAGACAGAAAACGTCGATATTAAGACTTTCAAAGGACATAGCCAGCCCTATCTGTTGTCCGACCTGCATAAGTGTGTGAATGTTGAAGGCAGCCAGTTTGAATGGTGCATTCGGTCTCAGAAAAACTGCTTCAGTATTCTTATTTGGTGGCAGCATACAATTTTCAACCAGTCACTGGCTCGAGATCGTTTAGACAGAATCGAGTGTACACCATAAGCGAGCTGCTGTATAAGCTGAAAAATAAGGATACACCAAGTGGGAATAAAAGAGAGTGAGTAAATGACGTAGCAAATAATAGTAATAATATTAATAATAATAATGTGAGTTGTTTGACTGTTAATCGAAGCAAGTATAGTATATTTCGTAAGTATTGTCATTTCATTCTGTTCGTGTGTAGGCTGTGATACTGCCCGGATGCCCAGACCGAACAGGTGGTTTTCTTAGGGGGCCACACCCGGAGCCTTGGACCTAAAGGTCTAACCCACAAGGCAGTGGAGCATCGTAAGGAGATTCAGACCCATGGTAGCCGGTGACCAACGATTGGTTCATACGCCATTTGTTCCGGCAGGATACTGGGGCCCATGTGCACCATTGGTTTGAAATTCGGTTAAAGAGCCGGACATTCGCTTTTCGTCCTCTCAATTTCGTAAACAACACCCCCGCCACGAGAAGGCAATGAGTAGGACTTCCCTGGCAGAGGCTGTATACGCGTGGCCGTGTGAGAGCATTTCAAGAGGGAGGGCGGGCCCATCCACTCTAGGCCATACCACGGCATTTGGAGGCTTGATATAGTCATATAGCCTATACTGCATACAACACATATGTAGGGTAGTAAGCGAAATAGGCCAGCCCGAAGCGTTAGGGCTTAAATAACGCTCAAAACCTATTGTCTGGTGTCGGAATACTATAACTAGACCACCAAGATCATTTTTATCTCTTGCGAAATTTTCATTTTTCCGACTTTTCAGACCCTGAGCTAGGGGTAGTATCCATAAGTATGGAGGAGATTGGGGTATATCTCAGTCCAATATAAATAGTGATAACTAGTAAATATACTTCAACAGTTCAACTCAGCTTAAATAACGATATTTGTTCACATTGGTTACATATTGTCACATTCAACATTTAGACAAATGAACCATGTAGACCAATGAAGAGATTGTTGAAAGTGACTTTATTGTCTACAAACTATTCCACTGGTTTGTTTTGTTGGTTTTCAGTGTTTTTAGCATATTAGAAAAAACACCTTATGATCTCTCATTGGTAAACGATCAATTTTGTACTGATATATGATCTTAAACCCTTCCTCTTTCTTCTGGTGATCGACTGGATCATGAAGACGTCAGCATCTGACGGGAAGCATAAGATTCAATTAACAACTAGGATGCATCTGGACGATCTAGACATCGCAGATGATTTAGCTCTTCTATAGCACACGCAACAACAAATTCAGGACAAGGCGACCAGTGTAGCAGCAGCCTCAGCAGCAGTAGGTCTCAACACACACAAAGGGAAAAGCAAGATTCTTCGATACAACACAACATGCACCAATCAAATCAAAATTGACGGAGAAGATTGGGAAGATGTAAAAACCTTTACATATCTGGGCAGCATCTTTGATGAATACGGTGGATCTGATGAAGATGTGAATGCGCGGATCAGCAAAGCAAGAGCAGCATATCTACAATTGAAGAACATCTGGAACTCAAAACAACTGTCTGTCACCCAACACCGAAGTCACAATTTCCAATTCAAATGTCAAGACAGTTCTACTCTATGGGATGGAAACTTGGAGAACTACGAAAGCAATCATCTAGAAGATGCAAGTGTTTATTAACAGTTGTCTATGCAAAATACTCGGATCCGTTCGCCAAACACAATCAGCAACAATCTACAGGGGAGGAGAACAAAACAGATTCTGGTGGAGGAAGAAATCAAGAAGAAGTGCTGGAAGTGGATAGGATACACATTGAGAAAAGCATCGAACTGCGTCACAAGGCAAGCCCTCACATAGAATCCTCAAGGCCAAAGGTGGTGAAGGGGAAGACGAAATAACACATTTCTCCGAGAAATAAAGACAGACACAAGAAGAATGAAGGACAATTGAATAGAACTAGAAAGTAAGGCTGAGGACAGAGTGGGTTGGAGAATGCTGGTCGGCGACCTATGCTCCATTAGGAGTAACAGGCGTAAGTAAGTAAGTAAGTAAGTATGTGGGTAAATTAGTAAGTAAGAATTTGTGTATTAAAACTTCTATTAACTAC